AATGTCTAATGTACGGGAAACAAATCTAGTATATATGAATTAATGACTGGACAAATGATTTTAGTGATAAACTTGAGATCTTTGGATTAACATATCCGAAAGCCTTCATTGTTCCAACTTTTAACAGTTTGCACTCTTTGTCTTCAGGCATTGCCAAAAGACTCCAACATAACCTCGTACTTTTCAAGAGCCATATTAAACATCACTGAAAGTGACGGAATGGAGCAGATTGAAAGGAAATATTTTGGAAGTAGTGACGTGGACGATGAACTCCAAGAACAGATGATGTTGTCGTCTGACAATACCAGAACTAGTCTCACCACATATAGTTTTGGAGGTTTGTTCATTGTGATAGGAGGCCTTACAGTTTTGGCTTTGCTGGTTTCAGAAAGTGGTGTTTGGAGAAACCCTATCATGTTGGCAAAAACTTGTAGCAAAACATTGTTGACTCGATGTTCTGAAAAAATAAGTCAAATGGGAAAGGGTTCTGCACAAAGTTCTCAAAATCCAACTAGGCCAACCAGAACCGACGCTTAGTACGGTCCAGAACAATACCATAACTGGCAAAAAAGTGACTGTTTTTAAGTTTTTATTTTTTAAAAAAGCCAATTCTCAATAATCCAAATTAAAATTATGTTATTTTATATTTTTATTTGTTTCGTTGTTGGTTTGTCTCTTGCATTATGTGTGTGTGTGTGTGTGTGTGTGTGATTTATTGTTGATTTTAGTTAATATTAGAAGCTTGTATTGGTTTAATTAGATAATTAATGCAATATTTTTGATTATTTTGGTGATTCAAAATGGAAAATAAATAGTTTTATTATGATGGTGGTGCAATTGACTTCAAATTTGACATATATAATAATAATAATAATAATAATATAAATAAATTAAATATTATCTAAAATATTTTTATTTTCATACATATTTTTAACATATATTATTTTAATTCAGACTGGCAACTATAACTTGAATACAGTTGAGTAATTAAACCAATGCGATTCAATACACGAACCAGTCCAAGGTAAGCGGTTAACTGCACCCTTTGACGGGTAAATGGCCCAAGGAACTTGGAATTTCGACTATTTTCTCCTGCTCTCACATTTGTTTATGAAAATCAATTTAGTCAAATATTGTGAAAATATTACGAGATCGATATAATGTAGTTTCTTAGAAATATCTCAAATTTGAATATTAATAAATTTCAATATTTTATATTTTAAATATAAATTTTATTTATTATAATACGCACATTTTAATATTACATGATTTTATCTTAGATGTGAAAGATTCAAATTTTATTTAGATTATTTTAATATTTATTACTTTCGAAAAGTAAATGTGTAATAAAATGCAATCTGCTTACCGTCGTATACATTTTTAAGAAGTATAAAAAAAATTAAAGACGAAATATCTATTCAATTTCTAATTTTCTGGACGATCCTCAATTTTTTCTTTTCTTTTCTTTTTTTTTTTTTTGGGTCTGCCAGTTCGAACTTGCAATTTGTAGGTTGAGTGTGTGCGGCACACTAACCATCAGCCAGTGTTGGAACAGTAGTGAGGAGTGAAGTCTTGAATCAACCAAAGCTAGCTGGCTCAAAGCTATTTGAAGTCATGGTTCATGTATTTTGACTCTTCTTAATTATCTTACGTAGTAAACGATGTCATTTTTAAAATTTTATATTTAATTAAAAAATTCACCATATCACAAAAAAGTTCATCTCCATAAGTACTCTTTTCGGTCTTAAATTGGACATAAATGTTGGGAGTACAAATAAGCAAGAATGACAAAAAAACATCATATGTTAACTTAAAACCTCAAGGTTTAAATTTATAAGTTATTCCCTTTTATTTTATAGTACTATTAAGCTTAGTTTTATCCAATGTGAGATTTCTTACATTAATTTAAGTTCATTTGTACTCAAACAACTAAATATAAGAAACAAGAAAGAATGAAACCTTATATTTAGAACCAAATCAATATCTTCAAATAGATTTAACTTTACATTTAGGACAGGAGAAGATAATTGTTTAAAGTATAACCAAAAAATATTATTTTTGTATATAATATTAATTTGGGTTTAGGTTTAATTTTACCCCTATACTTATTTTTTAGGAGTGTTAGGCACCCTATACTCTTAAATGGAGTAATTTTACTCTTAAATTATTTTTTGGAGGAGCAAAAACCTCCTTCTATTAATCAAACTATTAATTTTTTCATTTTTTACTGATGTGGCATATGCGTGGAGTCCATGCACAGTGACATAAAATTTTAACTATGTTGTTTGGTGCTAATTTGCACTTGAACTCTTTTTTAGGAGTATTAAGCATCCTAAAGTCTGTTTTTAAGAGTGTTGGGCACCCTAAAATCTTATTAGAACAAGATTGAATAAATATTATTAAAATATTAAGTATTTTAATATTTAATAAAATTAAATATTATTATTTAAATCATTACACCACCTAATTTAATATTTTTATATTTAAATATTATTTTTGCTAGCATGTTATAACTTTATAGATGACTTCTTATTTTTATATATCAATCTTCAATCTTTTTTGTGATACAGTACCCAAACCGTTACACCTTTTATATGTGTCAAAATTTACTTATATTTTTAATATTTGTTAAGTTTCTTAACTTTTTTGGTCAACTAATCATCTTCCTCCAAAATATTACATTATCCAAATTTAATACTCTATATACATTGCAATGTTAATAGTAAAATTATAAACATTACAAATCAGGACCAATAATATAACAAAAAAATATTTATTTAAAAGATATCGCATATTCCATCAATATGCTACAAAAAAAAAGTTACTTAACAACAGAAAAATGGAGAGATGAGAAAAAAAAAATTCCTTCATTAACTTGGAGGTTCATTCACTTCATTTTTAATGCAAAATTGCAAAATATCATAATATTAAATTTGGTGGTGTAATGTTTTAAATAATAATATTTAAATTATTAAATATTAAAATAGTTAATATTTTAATAATATTTATTAAATTTTATTTTAACAAGATTTTAAGGTATCAAACGCTCCTAGAAAAAGATTTTAGGGTGTTTAGTGCTCCTAAAAAAAGTTTAGATGTAAATTAGCACTAAAGGACATGATTAAAGTCTTAGATTTCACTATGCATGGATCCCATGCACATGTCACATCAGTAGAAAATGAAAAAATTAACTGTTGATTAACGGAAAGGTATTTTTGTTCCTCCAAAAAATAATTTCGAAATAAAATTACTTCACTTAAAAGTATAAGATGTCCAGTATTCTTAAAAAAAAAAAACAGTGGTAAATTTGAACTTCAACCCTATTAATTTTTTATTATACACATAAGTCTTCTTTTTAAAGATTTGACAAATGACAAGTGTATATTATAATCGTTTCTTAACCTAAGCTATTAGAGATCGAGACCTAGTGCGCGCGCGCGCGTGTATTCTAATGTGGTCCCCACCAGCAATGTAGGAGTTCTTAACGGTCAAGTCATTCCACAATATGGCAAGAAGCTTTCATTTAACAGGCAAGTTGCTCCTTGGGAAAGAAGGGACCACACTGCTGAACTTCCTCGAAATTGTCACTTTTAGCAACTGAAAGTATTATAAGATTGGTCTTCAACATACAATTTCTCTTCAATTCATAAGAACAATTAAATAAATGAATCTATTGGCATGGTGATGTCGGCTATATATAAAGGTAGCTGCAGGAACTAAAACTAGCCACTTAACTTTAACTCCTTCGTTTTCAGGCCACATATAGATGGCAAACCCAAATTTCTATTGTTTTGGCTTCCTGATGACTTCTTGTGTTGTGTTGTTAATAGCTCATCAGATTGGAGCAGGCCATAATGATGATGATGATGCAGGTCCACTCCTAGGGGGGAGGAAGTTAATAATCGGAGTCCACAAGAAATCAGGCTTCACTGAGTTTGTGGATTTACAACTCAATTCTTCTAATAAGAATCAGGTCTTCAAGGCTACGGGCCATTCCATTGACGTTTTCAATGCCACAATAGCTTACCTTTAGAGTTTACAGCACAAGATTTCTTACGAGTTTGAAGCTTTCGTAAATGAAGATGGGAACAGTGCCGGCAATTACGACACACTCCTCTACCAGATTTTTGAAGGGAAGGTTAGATATATACATATATATATATATATATATATCCGTTCAATCTTCTTTGCATACATAAGATCTTATTGCCACGAGAGTTTGGCTTGGGCCTGGCTAGTTTATGGAACAAGGATATTTATTTATTTTGATGACTGAAGTAGAGAGTAGTAAAACCTGATATTAAAAACGAGGCATACTCGTTAGAATAGGTATCTGCACTTTATACATAAGAAGGCATTAATTAACTCTCCTTTTAATATTGAACAGTACGATGTTGTGGTTGGAGATGTGACGATTGTGGCAAATCGGTCAAAGTACGTGGATTTTACGTTACCGTATGCAAAGGCAGATGTGAAGATGCTTGTGAAAGTTCGACATGACCCACGGTTGGACATGTGGATTTTTGTACGATACTTTAGCTGGGATTTGTGGCTGTCCTTTGCCATTGCCTGTATTTTTGTTGGAGGTAGCATATTGTTCATGGAACGTAATGTTAAAGGACATTCAGGACTTGAAAAATCTCCAAGCAGCCAAAAACTGAATGGGATTTCCATCCTGTGGTTTCCCATTGTTCAAGCATTTCTTCCTTAAAGTGAGTCTTAAGCCTTTTCTACATTAAATGTTTGCATAAGTTTTCAAAATAAAATGAAGTGACTATAATAAATTATAGTACTATTCCTTCAGTAAAATTCAAATTTAAAAATTTATTATTATTTGACTTGCAAGAGATTATTAATTGGCCAAGAATTGTTCTTGGTTCGTATTGGTGATGTGGATGATACTAGCTTTTGTGTTAATACAAAGCTACACAGCATGTTTGTCATCAATATTGACAGTACATGAGTTGCAACCTCATTACCCAAGTGAGAATGACGTTATAATGGACTCTAACATTATTGTTGGGTACCACCGTGACTCATTCGTCAGAGGTTTATTGGTCGATCGCTTGAAGATTGATAGGTCCATGGTTAAGAATTACTCTGACATTAAAGAATATAAAGAGGCATTAGACAGAGGAAGTCATAAAGATGGCGTCGATGCTATTTTTGATCAAGTTCCATACATTAAGATCTTCCTCAAGCAGAATGGTTCCAATTATGCCATGGTTGCAACTAGGGACCGCATTGATGGATTTGGTTTTGTGAGTTTCAATCCCTCTTCGTTTTAATTGAACCCATATTTTAATCTTATTTATAAAACATGACATTGACTTTACAATTAGATTTTCCTTTTAGCTCTATTAAACGTTGGTGAAAGAAAATATCCCCCGTGTTTTTAAACACTCCGGTCCTTAATATATATAAAATGAAGTTTGAAAGGTTTTTTGTCCTAAACATAGGACGAAGTTAAAGTAATAAATGTTTTTTCAAGTTTATCACTTTTAATTTTTTTTAGATAAACTTATCCTTTTTATATTTATTGTTATTTGAATTCCTAAATAACAATTTATTATAGTCATTAATTAAAAGGAAAAGTAAAAAAGGGAAAAGTTACGTATTTTTTTTTATAATTTCAAAGTTATAACTAACATTTTTTAATAAATGCAGATAAAGTTTGTTAATTTTATCTTATATCAAGGATTAAGGGAGTATTCATAGGATGAAGTTTGTTAATTTGTTTTGTGAAAATAAATATTGACTTTATGAGGTGTAATTTGGAGAAAATGTGATAAATACTTATTGAAATGTGTAATTTGTTTATTAATAACAAGGAGGCATATAATAATTTCTCTTATTATGAAAGTGTGTGTATTTAATAGAAGTAAAATTAAAATTTAATAAATTTTTAAGAAGAGTTAATAAATTTAAATATTTCTTGATTTCAGTAAAACATATTGAAAGTGAGATATAAATAAACTTGGAATTTTAGCCAACATGCTTATCCTCTGTCCTATTTATAGGGCAGTGAAAGAAGATTAATTTTGATCATATTAGGGCATTTGATTATTTTCTATGTTTATCTTTATCATTTTATTTTTATTAAATGTTAAGAAAAATTATTAAAAATAATTTTTTTTTCAAGAGTAGAGGTGGAAATTAAACTTATTAAATTTTAATATAAATGTTTAAGATTTTTGCTTATTTCGATAAAATATGTTAAAATTGATTTATAAATAGAAATGAAAATAGTGTCAGGTTAGAGAGAGTACGATAGCGCCATTTTAACATGTCTGTCCAAACATTTATATAAAATTTCAGGCGTTTCCAAGGGGCTCCAACTTAACGTTGCACTTTTCTAGAGCCATATTAAATGTAAGAGAGTAAAGAAATGGATTGGATTGAGAAGAAATACTTTGGAAGAAGTAATGATATTGATGAAGGCCAAGACCTATGATCAAACGATTTGAGTCCCAGTCTCACCACTTATAGCTTTGGAGGTTTATTCATGGTAATTGGAATTCTTTCATTGATAGCTTTACTCGTCTCTGAAAGCTGTATCTGGCACAAACCCGTTATGCTAGCAAAAACATGTAGCCAACAATTCCTGAGTTTAAGTTCTACAACTAGTTGTACTACAAGAGGAAATTAAATGTTGATGAAGAAGGTTTTACCATTGGAGAAGATGTTGTATGTGAAGATGGAGTGAATATCCATAGAAAAAAGTAGAGAGCAAGGCAGAGAGATCACAGACTATTGTATTGGTCAGAATATATAATTGCAACAAGTTTTTCTTTTTCTTTTTCCGTTTTTTTTTTTGTTACCTCAATCACATTGAAATATTGAAACAAAGAAATTGAGAAAAACATCAAAAAGTTAAATCCAGCGAGACCCAACGCCCTGCTATTTTGGAAAATATAAGTCATATTCGTATTAGTTAACCTAGCCAACCCAATTAACTGGGGACACCAAGGATCTAATCTCTAGCTATACGAAAGCATACAAAGGCCTAAAACATTTAATGTAGGTGGTATCAGGCGTTAAATATTGTATTTACATTTACTCTTTATTGCCTCAGTTAAATATTGGGAGAGAATGTTATTAAATGATAAGGTATTTTATTATTTTTAAGGTACATATGTTTAATAGGAATAAAGTTAAAAATTTATTTAATTTTTAAATAACGTTAATAAAATTTAATATTTTTTAATTTTAATAAAAATATTAAAAGTAATTTATAAATAGGATGAAAATAATATTTAAGTCTTGGAGCATAAGATTTAAATATTGACCAATGATCACAAGCCACGACACTTTAGCTGCCTTCAATCAAGTGCGCGCGGGCGCTTCAATTATTCTGACGGTTTGGCTAAAAAAGAAATTCAATTTGACGGAATTACAAAAAAATTGCTAAAAAAAAAATTGCCCCGAATATAATAATCAGTTGACGTCGTTTTGCTTTCGATGTCCTCGGACTCGGATATTCAGTCCTTCTCAACGCTGACTGGTCAAAGGCAGTTTGGTAGGAATTTCAGATTCCGCTTCCGTTCAATGTCAATGATCACCCTGTCTCCAGAATCGCTTCATCTCTCTCAAGTCTTAACGTTGAAATATATACTACAGTTGATTCCAAGATCAAAAAGGAGGACGAAGAGATAGCCGCAAAGGGAAGCTTCATACATCTACTCCTAAAAAGTCGCCGTTCATACCCTCCTCTAACAACTCGCACTGAATTGCGCCGCCTTCTCTCTGGTACCGTTTCAATTCTGATTAGTAGTTTCTACTCTCTTTTGTATTTGCTCACTAAAAATCAAATAATCAATTTCTGTGAAATTCTCAAATTAGATACACCGAAGTTGCTGAGAAATCTCCTAAATGCATGTGAACTGAAACGTTTCAGGCTTGAATCACTCAAAGTAAGCTTAGACTTTTTCAATCGAAGTCTCTCGTGATTAATCACCGACATAATCTAACAAGTGCATAGGAAAAAAACATATAAATAAAGTGACAGCAATAATTAAGAACTCAAAACTAACAAGCTAGCTTCTTAATTTCTTCATTTTCTTACCGCAGACGCAGCACTTCTGTCAGATGGCATACCCAAATCGCTACTGCTATGGCTTCCTCCTTATGATTTCTTGTTCTTGTGGTGTGTTGTTAATAGCTCCGATTGAAGCAGAAGATGATGCAGGGTCACTCTTGGGAGGGAAGAAGCTGATCATTGGACTTCCTTATAAATCAGGCTACACCCCATTTGTGGATGTACAACAACTCAATTCTTCTAATAACAATCAGGTCGTCCAGGTTGGGGGCTATTCTATTAACGTCTTCGATGCTACAATAGCCTACCTTAAGCGTTCGAATTACAATATTTCGTTCGAGTATAGAGCGTTTGTAGACGAAGAGGGAAACAGTGCTGGGGATTACGACGCACTTGTCCACCAGATTTTCGAAGGAAAGGTTAGTTGCTGTACAGTCTTGTACATATTACTATTGATATTATCAAGATCTCAAGTGTACTGTATCGTTGCTGAATTAGAGAGAAAAGCATGTGCTACGCCTCTATGCACATGGGTTTCATATATCGGGGTCGGGTTCCTCCTTCTCTCTCTTCAATTCAGTACTAGTACAAGTTAGGAGATCTATTTCAATGGTTCATGTTGGTTTGACCTTGACATATATATATTGAGCTGATAAAAAAAAATCGAGTTGGGTCCGTTACTTTAATAATTAAATTTTTAATAGAGATTGATATGAATATTTAATATTTTTAAGGAAAAATGATGAGTTATATATATGGAGCTATATACATATAATTAACTCTTTTCAAGAGTCAAAAAATTTTATTCAACATCTTGCCCATGTCGAATCACGTTTCCCCCAATCGTGTAATCATGATCATCAGATTTTATGAAAAATTCTGGACCGTATGACCGTATCACTCCATATCGGTCAAGCGAGTGCACGTACAGAGTTTTTCAAACTTGCATAGCAATGTTCTTCATTATATTTGCATCGTGTTCTGATGAATTTATTCTTCATTCTATTTGGTATAATTACCATCAATACACACAAAGACATTAACTTCAACATCTGGCTCTCCCTTGTTTTTTTTATTAATAAATAGTATGATGCTGTGGTGGGAGATGTGACGATTTTGGCAAAACGGTTGAATTATGCTGATTTTACGTTACCATATACGCATTCTAATGTGAAGATGCTTGTGAAAGTTCGACATGATCCACGGTTGAATATGTGGATTTTTGTACGACCATTTAGTTGGAGTCTTTGGTTGTCCATTGCCATAATCTCTACTTTTATCGGAGGTATCTTACTATTCATGGAACGTAATGTCAACAAAGATTCAACGCATGAAAATTCACCATGTAGGAAACAATTCAATGGGATTTCTATCCTGTGGTTTCCTGTTGTACAGGCAATTTTTCCTGAAAGTGAGTACTAAATCTTGTTCTCTATCTCGTGTGCTTGATATTCGCTTTATTGTATTTATCTTTCTTTTTGTTAATATTTGCAGGAGAATCACTAGCCAAAAATTGTTCAAGGTTTGTGCTGGCGATGTGGTTGATACTGGTATTTGTGCTCATGCAAAGCTACACAGCAAGCTTATCATCGATCTTGACAATACATCAGTTGCAACCTCGGTACCTTAGTGAGAACGATGTTACAGAAGATCCCAACATTATTGTTGGATACAATCACGGTTCATTTGTGGGAGACTTATTGATCAATGGCTTGAAGATCCATAGGTCAAGGGTGAAGAGCTACGCTAGCATTAAAGCATATAAGGAGGCTTTAGATAAAGGAAGTCGTAAAGTGGTGTTGATGCTATTTTTGATGAAGCTCCCTACTTTAAGGCTTTCCTCAAGAATTATGGCTCCAATTATGCAGTGGTTGGAACTAGGCACCATGCTGGTGGATTTGGTTTTGTGAGTTTTTATCTATAATTTTGTACTCGGTTTAAATTCTATACTTATTTTTTATATTTTTAAGTTTTTTAAAAAAATTAGAATAAAAAATTTACTTTCACTATTTCTATATTTTATTTTAAAATTTGAATTTATATTTAAAACAAATCTAAATCATACTTCTATTGCATTTGAATTAATGGGGATTTGAATTTTTGCCAAATTCCTCATTTGAATACATAAAAATCTATTAATTTTCAAATCCATTTCTTATTATAATTTCTTCATAATTTTAAATATCTTTTGTACCTTAATTATTTAAAATTCTAGCCATTTAAATTCTTTCATTCTTTTCATGTTTTTATGGTTGATGTCCCTGTCACCCTCATCTCTCTTCTCATCTCTCACCAAATGAATAATAGAGATCAATTATCACCCTCATCTCTCTTCTAGTCTCTCAAATGAATAATAGAGGCAAACGATTTACATTTCCAATCTCCCATTTTCGCTTTAAATTCTATTTTGTCTCTCTTTGCCTTTGAAAATTTTTACATGATCTAAACAAATATTTTTAAATGTGAGATTTTAAATCCAAATCCAAATTCATCCATCCAAATACCATCCTAATTAACTGTTAATTAGCCAGTGTTGTTGTCGTAACAGCAGTAGATACTTTAATTTGTTTCTTCTCTTCCTTTCCCATCAATAATTAAGGTTGCATAGCCGTTTGTTGACATGTCTGTTGAATCATTTTGAATAATTTTTCAGGCATTTCGCAAGGGCTCCACGCTAACCCCGCACTTTTCTAAAGCCATATTAAATATTAGCGAGAGTAATGAAATGGACTGCATTGAGGAGACATATTTTGGAAGCAGCGATGATGATAAAAACCAAGAACTATCTAATTCATCATCATCAAATAATGCGAGTCCCAGTCTTACAGCTTACAGCTTTGCAGGTTTGTTCATGGTCATTGGAATTCTTTCACTGTTAGCTTTGCTAGTCTCTGAATGTCATATTTGGCGAAAACCTGTCATGCTCGCGCAGACTTATAGCCAACAATTTTTCAGTCGGAGCTCTAAAAGAATCAGTCCATTAGAGGAAGGTTCTCCAACAACAATAAAGGATGACAAAGAATGTTATACACGCACAGAATATATTGGATCAGAAGTTCTAGGAGATAATAAAACGTTGCCTGTTTAAGTAATTAAACATTTTTTTCCTTTTGTTTGGTAGTTATTTTCATTACTTTCTCATTGACAAAAATACATATGCATAGAAATAGTGTATAGTGGATTTAATTAATTATTTGGCCATTATATGAATGTTTCTGCAACTAAAGGACCAGCAGCAAATAAAAAGAGTGCGAAATCAACTATATACATCTTATGAAAAAAACTAAAAATTATTAAATTATATTGGCCAATGATTAATATTTCCAAAAATTTCAATAATAGGTATAATTGAGATATGATGGATTTTTAATACTCCCGTTTCTTCAATCATTCCTCCTCAAGGATAAGGTTTTGATGAATCTGGATAACTAGAGTGCGTTGATCTTGCAACTTTGTTCAAGTTCTGTTTGTACTTTAGTATCTCCTTTTATTCCAAGGGGCAAAATACTTTAAAGTATTCGATAATTAAATGTTGGCTACAGAAAGTCAAGATCGTCTTTGATTTGTCAGCGGAGACAAATTGCCCGCGTTAACAATTGAAGGCACTTCGTACGCTCCCTTTTCACTTTCAGATGACTCATAGTCATCGTAAGTTGTCGCATCATACTTACGAGAACCGAAATGTCATGGAAATTAGCAAGACAAATCTATATAAAGACCACGTCACTTTGCTATAACAGTGTCACGAAGGTCCCCCTAACTAAACAATGAAGAAACTCGAGACATTTTCTCTCCTGTTCCTGTTCAAGCCTCGAGTCCTCAAAATTAAATGTCGTTGTTCAATCATTATTCAACTTCTCTAGAATATTGACAAAACTTAGTTTTAATTTAGGACAAATGTTTTCCCGGGAGGATGAGAAGTTGTTTGGTTAAGAAAATTGGAGGGGAGGAATCCTCTTTTAAACCAAACAAAAAATCATTGAAATATTTCATCTTCCCTACCACCTTCTCTAACTAAACAAGTAGTCATTAAAACATTTTTCTTTTTTTTCTTAAACCAAACACTACCTTAAACGAGTCACAGTTCTAAGTGACTCCAGATATTGAGTGGTTTAATTATTCAAAAATGAAAAGAAAACGTTGCCGTTCATACTACTCGCACTCCATGCATGCACTCAATCGCACCACTTAATGATTCCGTTTAGGTCCAAAATGAATGGTGCCCATCTTTCTTTTATTTTGATTTAATTTAGTCAATTCAATTCAAATTAATAGATTAAAATGTTATCTTTTAATTGTAATTTTTTAAAAATAAAGCCATATTATTTAAAACACAGTATTCATATTGCAATTTTAAAATATTTTAAAATAAAATTTAAAATTCAAATACTATAAGTTAAATTTAAACAATTCAAATTTTTATTTTAAAAAATAAGTAAGCTATATTCATCTTTGAAACGAGAAAAATATTTCTTGAGAGACGAAATTTCGAAGTTTCTTCCTTAATTTCGTCCCGGCTAGCATTATTCAGGGAAGCTGTTGGATTGGAACATTAAGACTTCAATCATCAAAGCTAGCTTAGGCTAGCTTGAAGCCAAGTCTCAACAAGTCATGTTCAAATATTAAGTCTCTTGTTAATTCTGGTGACCAAAGGGAAAAAAATCACTTGTAATTCATAAGTTGACATAGTCATATGAAGCTTACATCGAAGATGACAGGTCAAAAAAATACAACTCGAAATGCGACGATACTGACAAGATTTCAAATCACTCTCACATGCCGCTCATGTGTCACTATTCCTCCTACAAATATCTAATCTCCTCATCTGAATTTCCTCGAAACATCACAGCATCTTATCATACAAAAACTCCACTGAATGACGTCATTTTTCAGACTGTGTTACGAAAGCCACTCACATTAGTTTATAATATAAACGCAGTTTCACTCTTCAGGAACTCAAACCAACAAGCTTCTTATTATCGTCATTTTCTTGCCACTCATATATCACTTTGTGAGATGGAAAATCCAAATTAATATTTCTATTGCTACGCATACGTTATCATGACTTCTTTTATAGTCCAGTTAATAGCTCAGATTGAAGCAGGTGAAGATGCAGGTTCACTCCTGGGAAGCAAGAAGTTGATGGTTGGTGTTCCTAAGAAATTTGGCTTAACAGATTTCGTGGATTTAGAACTGGATTCTAGAAATAAGAGTCAGGTCAAGAAGGCTCAGGGCTATTCCATTGAGGTTTTTAAAGCTACAGTGGCTTACCTTCACAATATTTCCGTGGAGTATATAGCCTCCGCAAACGAAGATGGAAGCTGTGTTGAGGATTACAATGCACTTCTTGACCAGATTCCTAAAGGAAAGGTTAGAGAATTATTACTACTCAAGCTTGTATCTATACGTGCATTTTTTTTTTTTTGGAACGTTGACGTTGACTCTAATATATGACTGCTTTTTTTATTATATATTTTTCCCCTTCTTTCATTCTTTCTTTATCTTTTTAATGATATATCAGTATGATGCTGTGGTGGGAAATGTGACAATTATGGCAAATCGGTCCAACTTTGTGGATTTTACATTGCCATATACACAATCTGACGTGAAGATACTTGTAAAGGTTCGACATGATCCATGGTTAGATATGTGGATTTTTGTTCGACCTTTTAGCTGAGATCTATGGTTATCCATTGCCATCATCTGTATTTTTATAGGAGGTATCATACTATTCATGGAACGCGATGTCAAGAAAGATTCCAGACTTGAAAATTCACCATGTAAGAACCAACTTGGTGGGGTTTCAATTCTATGGTTTCCTGTAGTACAAGCAATTCTTTCTGAAAGTGAGTTTGAAACCTTGCTATATATCTCAATTTTATTTGCAAACAATGTGTTTCCGTTTCACCACTACATATCCGGTGTAATTTGCCTTAAAATACACATTTTTTAATTATATTGTTTTGGATTTAAATTTCTATGCTATTTGCAAGACAATCATTGGCCAAGAATTGCTCTAGGTTTGTGCTTGTGTTGTGGTTGATATTAGCATTTGTGCTAATGCAAAGTTATACAGCATGCTTGTCATCAATCTTGACAATACATTAGCTTCAACCTCGTTACCCCAGTGAGTATGATGTTATGAATGACCACAATGTTAAGGTTGGATACGAGGGTGGTTCATTTATTAGAAGCATATTGAAGAGTTTGAGTTTTGAGAAATCAAGGGTGAAAAAATACTCCACCATTGAACAATATAAGGAGGCTTTAGATAAAGGAAGCAATAAAGGTGGTATTGATGCTATTTATGATGAAGTTCCCTACATCAAGGTCTTCCTCAAACACTATGGTCCCAACCATGCCATGGTCGAAACTAGGCATCACAATAATGAATTTGGTTTTGTAAGTTCCCTTCTATATTTTAAAGTCAGTTTAAATTTTGTTTTTTATTTTAGGATGTTTAAGTGTGAGTAAACTAGAGCCAATATTAGGATTTCCTCCATAAAGATAAAATTGAACTTAATAACTAATATATAATAAAATATAATGACTCATAAACTAAAGTTTTGATGTATTAAATTAAGATGTGATGTCTTTAATTTTCTTTTCTTGTCCCATTTCCGGCTCCCCATTATGTATGTCAATTTATTTGCATGATTTTTCAGGCATTTCCCAAAGGCTGTAACTTAACCTCGCACTTCTCCAGAGCCATATTGCATGTGCGTGAGAGTATAGAAATGGATGGGATTGAGAAGAAATATTTTGGAAGCAGTGACAACGATAAAGGCCGAGACCTATCTACTTCATCGTTAGATGATTCGAGTACCAACAGGCTCACTACTTATAGCTTTGCAGGTTTGTTCATGTTAATCGGAATTCTTTCATTGTTAGCTTTACTAATCTCTGGAAGTTGTATTTGGCGGAAACCTATTATGCTCGCAAAAACGTGAATTCGGCAATTCCTGAGTAGTAGTTTTACAAGAACTAGGCCATTAGAGGAAGGTTCTATAACAATCATAAATGTTGAAGAAGATTCAACAAACAAACAAAATAATATTGTGTTGGATGATGGAGCAGATAACCATAAAAATCTCTTGCCACAATATCACTTTCCCATGTGGACATTGATACATTGCCTGTATAATCAAGTATTTATAACTAGTGATGGCAGATGATCTCCATTGTTTATTAGAGTCAAAGTTGCTGTCAATATATTAAGTTGGAAAATAAAGAACCATGTAGAGTAATTGTTTTTTTTTTTTTTTGAGTTTTTTCTCCGGACTCCATTTTGAGTTATTCACCTTACTTTTTTATTGAAACTAATTATTCATATAACAATAGTATAATGACTTTAATTATTCATGCAGAAGAAAATATGCATGGAGGAGTTTGACTTGTTATGTTATATTGTTTCTGCTGAAAATAATAGATTAACAGCGCATAATTAAAGAGAGTTAAAGCACCTATTTTTTTGGTCCAAATGTACTCAAAATAATAGAATGACACAATGAGTTTAGGAAATTAAATTCCACTTTGGAACGAAAAAGAAGAAGAAAAACTAACTTAGCGACAGTAATTTGCTCCACATGGTCAGAGGAATCTCGAGCTAACTGCGAAAGTCGTCATTAAATGATCAATGGCAAAAATTCCCATTAGCAATTTATTGAACAATGCAAGCCATTACGGCTATCGTTTTTTTTTTTTTCCGCCTGTTTATCATTAAATACGAATTCAGATATACAATTGATATGTCATAATTTTTTTAAAAAAATTAAGAATTCTTAATTCCCCTAATTTATTTTATCATTCTTTCCATAATTATCTCTTACTAATTACTAGTAAAAGTAGTACAAATAAGGATAGAATTGGTTATCAATTTTTTTCATAAAATAATACCTAATGCTAATATTGTTTTATAAACTTTTAAAATGACAAATTTCTTTCTTGCAACAAACTTATTGTCCAGCAAATCAAAAATGGCTGCTAATCAACTTCAAAGCCTATGATAATTAATATTCGCAACAAAAAGTCAAGCTTAACTTGGTCTTTTGACGGTGGGGACAAATCACCCCCACTTAGCCGTTAACAATGGAAGACTTCATCGGATTCTCCCTATACTTTCATATCATAGATTGGAGAGAACCGAAATTTCATGGAAATTATCAAGAGAATAATCATTATAGAACATGTCACAATGTACAGTATCTACTTCTTCCTCCGGTTTTTATTAAGGCACATTTAATTGTATTGAAATTAAGAAAAATGGTTAAGTCATTAATTTTATTTAAAAAATATTTTTATAAATTTATTCATATTTAAAATTATAAAGTACATCCCGAGGAGCTATAGAGAAAAATCACTTTAAACCAGTGGCCAAGCCACATCAATTGAGGGGGGCATACTTGGGAAAAATGACTTGTTTGGTGGTATGGGTTTTCATATCTTACTTTGCACCATCTACTTATTATACTTTGCACTCCTTTATTTTCATATTTTAAACTTTAGACCTATTTTAATCTTACTTTTTTAGCTCAGATCTATTCAATTTCTTAACTCAAAGCCTCATAAATATTAGTCCACAATTTTGCTATACCTAAATACTAATATTATTTATTAAACCTTTTAAAATAGAAAAAAAATCTAATTTGACTAAACTAGACTTGCATCGTCCTCGTCCTGAATACTACTTAGGGACTAGTTAGAAAAAAGGCATTGATGAGCTAAGACTCAAGACTCAAGAGTAAACTTATTGAATGTCTTTCACTAGCTCGCTATACTTACAAGTCTACAATTAAAAGTTGAATTGAGAAACGCATAAAAAAGCAAGAAGAAAAGAGAAATAGTGAATTTGTAAGAGACAGAAAGGTATTCCTTATATAAAGGATTCTGGCTCCTTCATTGCCCCTTGACCCAGGATCTTGGCTCCGCCATTACTTCAAACATTGTACAAAGGTAAGCTTAAAAAAATGTAATCAATGCCCACTTGGTAATTTATAATAGGGAGAATTACATTATAGTCCCCACATAAAAAAATTAATTACTACAAGGTCTATTGATAACTAAACTAAGGCCATTGACAACTGATTGTGTTGTCAATGATCTTAATTCAGTTGTTAATGAACTTTATAATAATTAATTTTTTTGTGTGGGATCTAGATATAACTCTCCCTTTATAATAAGGACCATCATTTTTTTTTATAGAATGTACCTTATAATTAATAACGACATTAAAGAAAGTCATTTGCTCTTTTGTTCTTGTTCGTATGACTTGAAAAATTTGTGTCAATGCTATCAAAATTTCAAGGAAAACAAACAAGGCATCCACAAAGATCGACTGTTTAGTAGATTTTATATATTCAAGTTTCAAATCAGTATAACTATGAGGTTATATATTGTAATGACTTTAAATTTTAAATTGAACAAAATTTTTTCCTAATAGATATTTTATTTAAAAATAAGTTTTATCACAAGTAAAAAGTGGTAGTTTAGTGAAACTTATACTAGTAAATATTTTTTGAAGATCAAGAGTTCAAATTCTACTTAGTAAAAGTTTAATTTTATTTCATTTTAAATTATAGGAAAATGTTTTTGGCTTTTCTTGTAATTTTTTCTTGTGCCCTCTCTTGTAATTTTCTTTATGTTTTGTCTTGCAATTTTTTTAACACTTCTTTGATCGGATTTTTATCTTTGTTTGGTGAGGAAAAAAACAGAGCATTCCCACTTCTTACGTCTCCACCGACGTTGTGCTCCTCTTCCTTCTTCACTATTGAACCCTTCCTCCTCCTCCTTGTCGGTCATGTTTCCTTGTTCCTCACCATCGGTCTGCATCGTCCTCATTGCTGCCCTCTTCTCCATCTTTGTTCATCCATTTAGTAGCTAGATTTTTTCTCTCTCTATCATTTCCCTCTGCTTCATCACTAGTCCGAGCTAGCATGTGTGTGTGAGTGGCCTTCAATTTCCTTTCTTCTTCAACTGCTGAATGGCTTGTATGTGTGTGTGATAAGCTCAATTTTTTTCCTTAGTTGACCGACTATTCTATTCGTCTCCTTCTTGATCGTGTAGCAGATTGGAGCCCAGCTTTCTTTTTATAATGTTGACCATATACTGGTTTTTAGTTGTTGCCATTGAAATTTCATTTGAGGTGAGTTGCTTTGTTTTCCCCTCTTTCCTCTTCGATTTCCATAGCAGCAAAAGCATCCTTTTTCCTTCCTCTTACTAATTGATGCTACACCTATCTCTTATTGTTGCTGTCTAGAGATTCTAGAAAGAACTGAGGTGACATTCGAGAAAATTTAATCCTAGTTCATTAACCTAACGAGGATAATTAGTGAGTTCTTAAGATGTGTGGCCAGAAGGGTCTAACATGGTGTAATTATGGTGATTTCGACCCTAGAAGTGGGTCTGGATCGATGGCGGGCTACCCGGGCAAGGAAAGAGTAAAGATTTATTTTCTGTGTCACATGCCGCGGTGTGTGGTTAGTCCACCACGGTGCACAGAGACAAATTTAAAAATAATGGGCTCCTCCAAAAATTCTTGGTAAAATCAACACAAGTTTGTACATTATTTATGAAATATTATTTTTGACAAGTATTAAACTGAAATTTGAAATGATCCATGCGAGTTAGGTATTAAAAATGTAAAGTGTATTTCAGAAGTGATTATTCTTCACATGTTTGAAACATGATTTTTAGAGGACTCTAACAGAATACTATTACTAATGATAGTTTCGTTAGCCCATAGCACGCTGTGGTTAAAAACTAGCTAGTTGTCTCATGGGCATTATTCTCACATTTTGTTATTCGTAGGTTTTATACCTGCATTTGATTTCGTGGCCTTAAGCTGCATTTAGTTAGTATTGCTTTCGTGGATTATGTGTTCATGTTTGTTTCATGGGTTTAGATGCGTTTGGTTACTTATCCTTGTGGACTGTGTGTCCACGTTTGTCTTCGTGGAATAAGCTGTGTTTGGTTATTTACTTTCATGGACTATGTATTCACTTTTTTTATCTGTTTTGTTGAGTTCTCACAATCCTAAATTTTGATTAATATGTATTTTCAAAATTTCAAAGGTTTTGATTAGCAAGTATATCACTTTGATTTATGTGTGAATAAATTATTTTCTTTAAACATGATAAAATAAATTGATTCCAATTTACTTTCATTTTACAGTTATGATTATGATTTACAAACTTATAAGTTTATTATGTTGAATTATCATCTTTTCAATTAGTTTACATTATTATTTGAGTTTATTATTTTAATTCTTTTAAATTCTACTTTGAGAATGCTATTCACTGTAAAAATTTATTTTGGTCTCAAATTTATTAGCTGACGCTAATCCCAGCACCAATCTTTGAAGGGCAATACAGTTATATTGGGTAAAAATTTTGTTTGGTACTGTTACTTTTTGATGTAAATATTTAAGTCTTATATATTTTGATTTAGAGGAAAGATTAGTTGCTCCACATATATTGTTGTTAGAACTTTATTTTAATCTATATACTATTTGTTGGCTAGAAGAGTTAAGCTCCGGACTGATACTATATTTTATGAAAATTTGTTATAAAATTTTCAAAAAATCTTATTTATAAGAAAGGTTTTATCAAAATTTTTACAAAAATGTGAAAGAATTGTTATGAAGTTATTATTAAAAATGTTTAAAATTTTCATATAATCTGATTATTTATTTTAAAAATGAAATGAATTTTTATCTTGAAGCTTGCGGAAATGTATGAAATGAGTCATTTTCATATCAATCACCTTCTATTTTTGAGGTGTGATACAAATCCTCTCATTTTCAAGATCTATGGAACTTTCTGTAATGGAACGCCAACCTGGAGAAGAAAACGCATTAGGACAAATAGGACCACAGCCCAATCTAATTCATTTCAATGCCAACTAAATAAACGTCTAACATGAGTGCTATCCGATCCAAGTGATAGACAAGGTA